CAGACAGACAGACAGACAGACAGACAGACAGACAGACAGACAGACAGACAGACAGGGGGCATGGGGAAAGGAGAGAGAGAGAGAGAGAGAGAGAGAGAGAGAGAGAGAGAGAGAGAGAGAGAGAGAGAGAGAGAGAACGACAATTATGTGTAGTTAATGTAGTTAGGCCTACAAGATAAACTAGTAAGTCTGTAACTTTTTTTGGTAAAGGACTAAATGCATGAGGCGCAACAAAATAACTTTTTTTGGGCTTACTTTATCTCCCCCAAACAGGTATCGCTGTCATAAAATGGGCAATTTGTAAACCAGTTTGTAAATCCTTTTTTGTTGACATCGTGTATGCATCCAAAGGGCAGTAGGTCTACAAAATTAGGTATTTAACTCAAGGCCCAAATAAACTACATATTTATTGTGTACATAGTACATGTATTTTGTTACTGACTCGAGATTTTTTAAAATTTATTTTTTTAGATTTAAAGTTGGTCGCTAGACTACAGCAGTGCCACGGAAAATTACGTTCGCACTGGCAAATTTTAAAACGAAATGATCTACTTTTAAGGCAGACAGATGAAAGTGGGATAGAGCCAACGAGTGGTACGTGATGAGTAATACATGGCAATGTAGGCTCTACCACTTGGTGCAATCTAGTCGGCTCATTCATCATCATCCAGCGCGTGGGTGGCAGACAAGGTGGTGCATAACTGGAAAGTGAGCAAATGGGCAATACTGTAGCTACTATAAAGATTTCCACAGAAAGTCAATAAGAATCTGCAGGATATCCCGTAATCTACATCTATCGATATTTACAACTGTTTCTAGAAGAAACGCATAAAAGCTGCAATAAAGTGAAACAACACTAACAACTCACTGTGTGTACAATATGAGAATATTTAAAGATTTCTAATTGCTTCGTGCAGCACCAGGACTTGCTACTCAAACTTACAGAGGGAGATAACAGTTTCGATGTATGAAAAGTGTAAGAAAAGGGGGGGGGGGGATAGGACCGCGTTAACTAAGTGCGGGGCCCTAGGCTGTCCCTGAGCCGCGGGGCCGGGGCCCCTCGATGACGGTGATGCTACTTCTGTAAAACGTGATTAGATGTAGGCCTACCGGTATCCACCAATAATGTGGATTAAGACGACGACAAGCACATTTATAGATCTATTTTTGTTACAAAGTGTGAGGCAGTCAAAACCTATCAGCAGCAGCCACAACAACAGCAACAGCGGTAGCATCAACATCCTTCTCATCAACATCAACAACAACAACAACTGTAAAAACAACAGCAATACAAACAAAAAAACAACAACAACAATTCAACAAGAGGACATTTTTTTGGGGGTTGAAAAACATTTTTTAAACGTCGTGTTTGCAAGCGCGAGGCCCCCTGAGGCGCGGGGCCCTAGGCCACGGCCTAAACAGCCTTACGGGTAACGCGGCCCTGGGGGGGGGGGGGGGGGTCTTGAACTAATGTAATATTACACTTTTGTGAGGGGGGGGGTGAAATATTTTCGACATAATGATGAACTCTGCATTTGTTGATGATAACTTATTTCACTTTTTTTTCAGCATAATTTAATGATCAGTATTAACAGAGATACAGTGGAATCCTGATAAAGTCAACTTGCTTAAAGTCAACTCTTGCTTACAGTCAACACCTTACTGTAGTCCCGTTTCTTACCTTCTTTGTTTAAGTTTAAGTAATTGTGTTTCTGATACAGTCAACCGCTTGAGTGTTAACCTTTCGTAAAGTCAACAATTTGGGGCTAAATCCTAAGATGAATTCATTCAAGAAGAGATATTTCGCCTGAGCAAGTGGTATACACACCTCCAATTACATATATGTACTTTGTTCTTTCATTATCTCTTGTTTTGGTGACAACTTCAGAATTAAACTCCCTGAAATTGATATTACATCTTGTTTATTACCAGGTAGGCCTACCTTGTAATTTTGTAGCTGTCGTCTTCAATTTTCAATGGCCAGTAGTACAATGGATAAAGTCAACCTTGCTCAAAGCCAACACTTTTTTTCTGTCAGGGGTGTTGACTTTATCACGATTCCACTGTAACTTGTTTTGTTTTTTAATTAAAGCGCTTTTGTCATAGACATGAGTCTCATTTTTTTCTTTTTTATGAGTAAGAAAGAGTGTGTATGCAATATTTTCCTTGAATGATTTACTCTAATTGTGAGGCAGCGTGGTGAAATCAGGCGCTCGTCAAAATAATGAACTTTTATTGAATTTTTTTTTCGCGCTAAACACCTTTTACGCCCATACGGAAAAACGTTCATTACATGCACAAATTTGTGATTTTTCAGTTTTAAAGGCTCTCAAGCTATTGAAATTATCAAACTTTGGCGGCCGTTTTCTCACTAAATTTACCTCTGAAATCAGGTGACCCCATCTCCTTCAATCACAAATAATATTTCGACTTCAATTCAGCTTAGATGAATATATCGTTTTCATCAAAACAACGGCAAATGGACAGGCTTTAAGATGATATCAATAACTCTGTATGCCTCAAAATCAAAACTGACGAGCGCTTGATCCCACCAAGTCGTGACACCTATTATTTTTTAGTGCATATACTAATTATTATTAAGTGCATGTATGTGTGTATGCATGCTTTTCATAAATATTGTGCAATGCGCATAGAGCAATGATTGTTTTACGGATTTGCGCGATATAAATGTCATATTATTTTTATCAATATAAGCGAAATACGGGGGGT